GGTCACGTTCTTGTCTTGAAAGCTGGATGATACGGCTTTTAATTTAGCAGTTTAACATTACTCTGTGTTTACTAACAGACCCAGTTGTTGTGGGGGAGAGGTAATCTTTACCAGTTCAGTCACTGGAGGAAATGGCTGGTTATTAATGCAGCTAAAAACCTCCCCTTGGAAAATGCTAAAAATATTTGTGCAGAAATGGATCTATTCCATCAGATTTTTAATGGAAAAGTTGAAACTTTTCACTTCTGATGTGGCTCATTTTGACTTTCCAGTTTCATTTAATTATAATAATGAAATATTTTCACTTTATGGAATTAAATGTGTTTGTTTCATTTAATGAAGAAATTTCTCAGAATTTCCCATGAAAGAAAGAATTGCACTTTTGACTAACTTTTATATTTCACAAGAAATAATTTGTCATTTAAGGATACGACCTGTTTGCTCTGTCTGCCATGCTAATGTGGTTTGATCATGGGTCGGTCTACACACCACCAGGCCTGCTGGTGACAGATGGAGTACACCTGTCTCAAAGGGGGAAAAGGATCTTTGCACAGGAGCTAGCAGGGCTCATTGAAAGAGCTTTAAACTAGATTTGAAGGGGGAAAGGGCTAAAACCAGGCTCGCTAGAGAGAAGCCTGGCGGCGGCACGCCAGTGCTTGAGGGACAGTGTGCTAGCGAGGTCCTTTGGTCTGCCATCTCAGTGGAGGGAGGGGATGGAGATCCATGCGGCACCAAAGACGCAAGGGTTATGGATGTGTTAGAAACCATGGAAGCGTCTGAGAATGGTCACGTAGGAATTAGGTTTTCTCCCCCCAAAAAGGTGGCGGGATCAGTGGCCCAACTGAAGCGCATCTGCACCAATGCACGCAGCATGAGCAACAAACAGGAGGAGCTGGAAGCCGTTGTGCAGCAGGAAAACGATGATATAGTTCCCATCACAGAAACATGGTGGGATGACTCACACCACTGGAGTGCTGCAATGGATGGCTGTAAACTCTTCAGAAGGGACAGGCAAGGTAGGCAGGGCGGTGGGGTAGCCCTGTACATTAGGGAGTGTTTTGATTGTCTAGAGTTTAATGATGGTGACAATAGGGTTGAATGTTTATGGGTAAGAATCAGGGGAAAGGCCAACAAGGCAGATATCGTGGTGGGAGTCTATTATAGATCCCCCAGCCAGGATGAAGAGGCAGACGAAGTATTCTATAAGCAGCTGAGGGAAGTCTCACAACCACTAGCCCTTGTTCTCGTGGGGGACTTCAACTTATCAGATGTCTGCTGGAAATACAATACAGCAGAGAGGAAACAGTCTCGGAGGTTCCTGGAGCGTGTGGAAGATAACTTCCTGATGCAGCTGGTGGGGGAGCCAACTAGGGAAGGCGCCCCAGTGGACCTGCTGTTTGTGAACAGAGAAGGACTTGTGGGTGATGTGACGGTTGGAGGCCATCTTGGGGATAGCGATCATGAAATTAGAGTGTTTTCGATTCTTCGAGAAGTAAGGAAGGGGGGGTCAGCAGAACTGCTGCCTTGGACTTCTGGAGGGTGGACTTTGGCCAACTTTGGCCTGTTTAGAAGCCAGGTTGACAAGAGTCCCTTGGGAGGCAGTCCTGAAGGGCAAAGGAGTCCAGGAAGGCTGGACAATCTTCAAGAAGGAAATCTTAAAGGTGCAGGAGCAGGCTGTCCCCATGTGCCGAAAGATGAGCCAGTGGGTAAGAAGACCAGCCTGGCTGAACAGAGAGCTTTGGCTGGAACTCAGGAAAAAAGAGTGTCTCCATCTCTCAGACTTCTTCTGGATGGAGGACTTGCTTGGCAGCACACAAAATACTGACTGGTGGCAGGGCAGGCACTGCCTGGCACTCGCTGCCCGCCACTGCCCCAAGTGTTTTCCCTTCTTTATCCTTTCCATGAAGGGCCATAGAGTTCAGGTATTTCACGATGTGCTGTGAAAGCTTTCGCTGCCAGATCACCGCTTTGAATGCAGCCTAGACTAAAGTGTATTTAAAAAAACGATTGATATCCAGGGTTTTTCCAGGGGCTGAGGTTCACAACGTGGTGGCTGGCATCCTGCTCCTGCTGGACAGCAGTCCAGCTTCCGAAATGCCACCTTTGGCAGATGTTAAGGAATACATAGTTCATGAAGCCTGAACTATCATTTGTCACCTGAATGTTCACTTTTATGTCAAAATATTTACATTGGCAACTTAACCGTAGGAAGGCGCTGGTATCATGTATGCTTTGTGGAGAAATAAGGACTTGAGTGTCCAGAGCGAATCGCATGGCACCTTTCAAAAAATCTTTATGAATGTAAAAAAGAAAAAAAAAAAAAAATCTTTTTTTTCTTTTTTCACCCTTTTTTGATGATTTTTTTATAATACCCATAAATTGCCTGAAAATCTGTTTGAGGAGTTTAATCTGTTTTACTTTTTAAACCTGAGAGATGTGAGGAAGGCTAAATAAAAATGATGCATTTCTTCGAGCTGTGATTGTGTTTACTTTGTGGGTTTAGTGCCTAGGAGAGGGGGTTGTGTGAATTTGCCTTTCGTCTGTATGTGGGGTCTTGTAGTGGCCGCTTAAATTCACCACGGGCGCACTGGAAGCCGCTTCCTTCCTAGTGGAGGTTGAAGCTGGGCCAGGCGGGCTGTTTGTAAAGACTCAGTTCCCGCTGGTGTTAGGCACCTGATCCACCTTCCCAGCTCCACAGCCGTACCTGACGTGGATTGCCCGGGAAGCATGCGTGGAGGAACCAGGTGCCCGTGGTGCCCGCTGTCTTGGCGATTCCAGAAGTGCCACCGCTTCGGGTAGGAGGCGAAGGCGAGGTGCGAGCCGGCTGCGATGCTCTCTTTGCCAGAATTTCCAGCTTGGGGAATTGTACTGAACTTGCCTAAGCTCTGCTTAAAGCTTGTTTCTGTTCTTAAATCCTTCTCTTCTTTATACGGTTTCTGTGCCCTCTTAAGGCTGCTGGAATCTATTTCAGGCTTCAATCTGTGGCTTGAGATGATTAATGCATCTGTTTTCACATTGCTGGAACAAAAGGTATTAAAATACAATTTATCTTGAGAAAGATTATTTAAAATACAAATCATATGAAAATTGTTAATTTGACTTCTGCTATTTGAAATGTAAAAATATTAGTGAGTTATAGAAATGAGAAATTGCATATGGATTTTCTCTTGTAAGTTCTTTTCCTTAGAAACCAAAATTTGTATCTGAAAATGGTTGAAGTGGAGGAAAAAACCCTTCTATTTGAAGACATATGTTTGGAGACAGATTACTTTATTCCAGACTGCATTTGAGTGACTTAATTGCTTGTAGCTACAGAAACTTGGCATATATGAGGAGTTACTCTTCTATTCTATGTTTTTGTGCATACTGTATGAAGTCTAGTTGTTCCAAGCTCACTTTTTAGTTCTAGTTGGATACTTTATATATTCATAAATATTAACAGAAGATTGTAACAAAGAGTAGCCTGCTCATTTAGGGAATTGCTTCACATTCCCTCTCTCCTCTCCAAGATTTTAAATGCTTTCTTTTTAATGACCAGCTTTTCTCCTCCTCTGGCATTCCCAAAAATTTTCTGGGTAAATGAGTATGACTGAATTGATGGACTGACAGATGGTGTACATGAAAAGAAAGTGGCCCCTCCCGCCCCCAACTCCAGTAAGTTCCTGCAGTGTTGAACTTCTGCCATCTTTGTAGTTGAGAAAATAATTTTTCTTGCTTAAGGCGCCGGTTCTGCAGGCAGGTTTGCCACTGTGATTGCTGTGAGAGCAGCGTTGCCTACTGACAGGAGTTCTGCTGCTGTGAATATGCTTTGGGATGAATGCATTTAAACACTGATGGTGATCCTCTTCCTGTAGAACAAGACCTTACTTGAAGCTGTTTGTACGTCCGCTTACGTTTCGATACAGAGGAACCACGTGGTTTCTTGGTGGTGGATTTCAGAAAGTGAATAAACTTCCTTGTTTCGAATTTTAAAAAATCTTGAACAGATGCAGGCTTGCTACTGTTTCCGAGTGTTATAAATACAGACTTGAATTAGCTTTAGGAAAGTTAAACCTCAGAATTAGAAAAGAATAGGCAAAGGCTGAAACTATGCCATACTATTTCTCTAACTGATAAAATGTTGGTTTGAGGAAGGCAAGGGAAATACTCCCTCTTCTCTAACCTCCTGCTTTTCTTTTTGGTTAAATGATAACCTAGGATGAGATGGCAAAACTGCTGAGCTTGGAAGTCAGGATCTATCAGTAAGTGCCAAGGGACAGGGTTCTTAATTCGTTTGACTGAGTTTCAGATCAGAACAACGAACTACGTAGTGAAAACAAACTAGAATCTGCTTGGTCTGTGTTAAAGACAATAAATGAATCATAGTTAAAAACTATACTTTAACAATAACTCTTTCTTTAAACATGAAACATTGAATGTGAATTTCTTAAAACCAAATGGACGGCTAACTTACATTCTTGATAAGTTAGTCCCATGAATCTGAAGAATTGATTTGCTGTGATGGAATATCAGTAATCCTTTCCTTTTTCCCTTTTAGAAATGTGCAACAGAAGAATGTTTCTTCTTTGAGCGTTTGGAATCTAATAACTATAACACTTACCGATCACGGAAATACTCTGATTGGTATGTGGCACTGAAAAGAACTGGACAGTACAAACCTGGACCAAAAACTGGACCTGGACAGAAAGCTATCCTTTTTCTTCCCATGTCTGCTAAAAGCTGATTTCCATGGCGGATTCCGAGCACATATGCCACGCTACGCTAAAGACGTCGGGTTTCCTTACTCCTCTCCGAAGTAGCAAAAATATAAGCAATTATTTGCTGATATTAACTACTTTTGCAGATACCAGATTAAAACATGAATGTTTCATACTGTCTTTATATTGCTCTTTAAACCTATTGTGCCAGTGTGTGTGGAGGTAAAATTACTTGGAAAATATATTTTCAGGATCAATAACACTTTGTTTTCTGCTAGGTATCTATGTAGAGCTATTTTATTTACCTTATGTTTGCTTTACAGAGTAAAGGAAAACAAATCTGATATTTATAGCACACTTACAGCGGTATTTACCTTTTAAAATAATTTATATCTATAGCTTATTAGAGAATAGAGTAAATAATTACTTTCTAATAATTACCTAAAAAGAAGTCCATGGATAGTTTTAATATGGTCTAAATAACACTACAATAATAATTCTAAATTATTAATATAATGAAATGTGAAATGTACTGCAATCATGTAATGTTTCTGTAGGACTCGGGCAGCTCCCTGTGGTATAGTTTGTAGAACAGGCCTGTGTAGACAGCTGGAAACTCTCTCATGGTTATATCAATCTTACCAAACCCTTCCCGGTATCCGTAAAGTAAGAGTTTAGCTACATTGCTGGTGATGGGAGTAGCGTCTTTCGTCCTAGCAAGCTCATCGAGGTCCATCCATTCACACCTCAGGCACTCCTGCTGGCAGAAGCTGATGTTGAAGGAGGAGGGCTGCAGGCGACAGATGATGTACATATCCGACTTCCCAAAGGCTCCGGGGTGTTTGTGTTGCTGTCTTATGCTTAGGATGGACTTGAACTCTGACTTAATGCCAGTCTCTTCGAAAACCTCTCGAACTGCTGTGTCTCCTAGGTGACAAGAGCAATCCTTTACAACACATATAAGAATAGCTTAACACTCTTTAAACCTTTTGATCACGGAAAACTTCTAACTCCAAGCGTTCTCTGTTCTGCTTCATGAGCTTTTTAGAATGTAAGCCTGTTTGTTTCAACACAAGGATAAGCTAATTTTTTGGTCCCCGAACAACAGTAATTGCTACATGCCTTTCTTGTGTATATCCTACAAAATTATGAAAGTAAGAGACTTTCGATGATGCTGTACAGGGTGTGGTTTTGAAAGGGACATTCTAACGGTTGCTGGTTCCACTGATCTCTTAATCCAAGACAGCATTGCACCCTCATTTCAGTCCTTTGAATCTTAGCCCCCGTCTCCCTCCTTGCCTCTACCCAGTTTCAGGTTCAGACCCTGTGCAGCTGAACACCTGCACGTATGTCTGGTCATTTGATGAAATCACTTGGTTTCATGGCACTTTGCCACAGGGTGTAACAAAATGGGTAAAACTATTGTTTGCAGAAAGTGGAAGTTGGCACTAAAGTCCTTTTCAAAATGTATCTTGTGTGCCTAGTGACATTTGAAATATGCCATAATACCAGTATAGCACATAGCCTGTTCTTGCAGAAAACATTACGCATCCATGCTGCACGTGTACGTTTTGTGTACATCAACAAAGTGATGCAAGTGTTAACGTTCCTCCTTACAAAAGTAGCCATAACTTCAAGGGTGCAGAGGGTTTGTGTACTGCAGCTACAGCCAGAGAATTACCCATCTATCCAGTACTCTTCAAAAGAGCAGCTTTTTCTCTTGAATAGTAACTTAAATTGAAGAGCCCAAATGAGATTTTTGATACTCCACTTACTTCCCCAAATTCTGCAGTTTCGTTGTAGTCAAGTCAAATCCTACTTGCCTGGGGTTCTACTGGTAGGTAAAATACTAGTTTTTTCCAAATCTATGTAAACTCATAGGTAAATGCATATAGCTGTTTTGTAATGTTACCTGCTTCAGCTAGTTCATTTTCAGTAAGAAATGAGTGCGCTGGCTTACTTCTAAAAGCAAAATGTATTTTACAAGACCTTGTAGAGATTTGTCTTCCTATGGAAGCTTACATTGTGACATGTCAGAGGTGAACAAACCAGACGCTTTAGGGGTAGTGTCAAATATTGGAAATAATTTCAGGACATACAGTGGCTAGCAATGTATAAATAAAATGATTTATCCAGCAGAGGCCAAACAACTGTATGTTAATGGCCCTGATTCTGCACATACTTCTGCCTCAGCTCAACTTCCGTCTTGCAATGGAACGAGCTGTGTGAAGTTTACACCAAGTATATACAGGTCTTTTTGGGACTGGAGATCCGTTAGTACATGGTGTCTGCAGAACATTTATGTTTGTGACTTTATTACAGTATTAATTAGTTAAAAGGCTACTGCATGTGGGGAAGAAGTACATGGGGGAAGATACTCATTTACCATTACTGACCCTTGGAAACAGTGCATTTTACATTGCCCAGAGAGGCCTCTGTGGTCCTCTGGTTTAAAACAGTGGTTGCGAAGCAGACTCCCTGTGGCAAGTGGTTTTATTATTAGGCAAGGGGCTGTATTACACAAAAGTGGTCAAAGAAGGTAAACAACTGAGATCATGAGGAATGCTGAGGCAGGCTATGATAAGGAAAATGAAATAATTAGGGATTTAATTTAAGCTTTGAGCTTTGCTTTTAGATAAAGTACCTTTTTCTGTTTCCCTTTTATTTAAATGTGTGTATATATATAAAAAAATATATAATGACAGTTAAACTAGAAGGAACATTAGGGCTTGAGTTTCAGAAATACTCAAATACAAAAATGCCTGCACTTTGCTTAATCTGCATTATGAAACTATTCAAATTACTTGCGCAAGTCAGTTTGTACTCATTAAAGTAGGCAGCCATATATTTTGTCACTTCATATAACCACAGGATCTTCAAGCATTGTAATTGCAATTTGTAATTGTAATTTGAAATTTAGTCCCTTGAATGATTGTGAGTTTATAAGGTTTGATATAAGGATAAAAAAAGTAAAATTAAGCTCTATTGTATTTTATGCTTCACTAATTTTTATCTTCTTGTAATATTAAGATGTGATGCAGAGAATCGTAACTTTTATTATTATATAGTTCAGTAGTGGCAGGAGGGGAGCTGTAAGAGACTCAAATCCTCCTAGATGTTTCTCAATACCTACATCCAGGCTCCAGCCATCTCACCGGTTATTTGAGGGACGGCCACTGGCTTACTCAGTATTCCTCTGGGGAAGCTGCTGCCAGTGCTGGTCATTCTTTTCCCTCAGTACAAAAATCCCTCTGGTATCTCCTAGAAGTGAAAGGGGGCCTGGCTTGACAATAAACACAGCATTTGGGATTCTTCTGAAAACATGAATCCATTTCACTATGTTACATGTAGTTGCATCGTCAAGCAAATAATTTTGATGTCTATCACCGTGTTTGACAAAAAGACTTAAAATGTGACTCATGAGTTACAAACACTATGACTCGGCCATATCCTGCTAACTAGAAACTTTCTCCATGTTTTAAAATAATGAACTGGAATACAAGCCCTTCACACATCGTTGTAGGAAGACTGCTAAAAATAGTAGGTATTTCTAAGGTATGAAACAGGAAAGCTGGGCTCGATACCCAGTTTGCCAGAGCTGCTGCACTGGTCTGGGCAACATTTTTGAGTTCTGCATTTTTGAGTTACTGGGAGAATATATTCATATCTGAATACTGGCGTGGGGCTAAATTAATGCGAGCAAATGTAACTCTTGAAAACAAGACCTCCCTAATAACTGCAGTGTAACTTAAGCATTAACCACTCTGTGGATCATAATTTTAAGGGGTGAGATACAAGGAGAAAAAGCACATTTTTCTCTCTCTTCATAAACACCCTTGTTCATTCACCTCTGAACATAACTGCAGCAGTGTTCATCATCACCTGCGTGATGCTGGGTAGAAATGATAGGTTTCCTCAAATCGGCATTGTTTTTTAATACAGAAGTGCCTTATGTCTCTGGTTGAAAGTAGGTGCCCGGAAGACCCAGGCGCTGCACTTCACTCTGGTCCTGTGCCAAAGAGCTCTTAGTCTAAACAAATCAAATGAACAAGGGTGGAAAGAAGCAAGGGTATTTATTTCTGTTTTGCACATAAAAATGGAGAGTTGGAAATTTTTGTTCAGTACGTCATCGAGCTCACTGCCCTGGATTCCAGTGTGAGCTGAGCGCTCGCTGTTGCAGTTTTATTTGGGTTATATACTGATTACCTTAATCCTCTGCATTTTTGGCTCATATTACAGCATATCCAACAAGCCTACAAAAAATAAGCTGGCTTCAAGCACTCACTTAAGAGAAATTGTGGAAAAGGGTATATGTTATCAATACAAAGCTTCTCTGCCCTGAACATAACGTTACCCATTACCATTAAGGTCATGGGATCATGTCACTTCATCTATTCACCATTAATTCAAAGAAGTTATTAGTCATAGGAGTGATGTGGGTCACAATGTATTTCAATACAGTTAATGTTGTTATAATTCTGTTGACATCTGACCTGTTATCCTAGGACTTACCAATGTCTTCGCCTGGATTAGACAGACCTCCTGGAAATTTCCATGCATTTAGAGTCTGTATTGGAGGAAAAAAATATTAATGAAGTGTGCAGCCTGTTTTGTACTCGCTAATACGAAGGAGACAATTAACGTGACTTTTTTTTTTGTTGACATTGCAGTATTGCAAACATCAGTAAGGCTTTAAGTAGGAACTTCTTTGTTCTTGCTAACGTGATGATCAGAGATTTCTACAGTCTGTATGAAGTATTGGAACAAAACGTCTACTGATTGAAAATATAAACTGTCTAACCGTCATTAGACAACGTTGCTGCTAGATAACTAGATAGAGTAGTTGAATATTAAAAAAAAAGCTGCTATAGACTATATAATCTTATATTTAATCACTAATGCATTCCACTTCCATGGTTTTCGCTTTTAAAAAATGTATATATATTTAATCTTACAAACAGGTATTATGATTGTAGTACTGTTCTATACTGCACTGGCTTTAAAATGATTTTGTGTGTCTGTAATAACCATTTAGTGTAACTTGTCGTTTGTTTTCATGGAATACAAAAACTGAGGCCTTGTGTGTGATTTATATATAAAAGCATTTATTGAATTGCAATAAAGTTCAGTACTTAGAACGTGAAGTGCAGACTTGGTGCCGTTATTGATACTGGTAAAGGAGTCCCAGTTCTTACACCCCTTGCAAATGCATAAAGATTTGTAGGCGTTACCTTTACATCCACGTACGATTCTTTTAATTCTTTCTTTATTAAAAATTTATGTAGGAAGAAGTTAACCTTCAACCAGAAATAAACAAAGTAAAAAGGTACGCTCTGGGAAAAAAAGAGGTAGCTTTTCTTGTACATGCAGCATAGAGAGGGAAGTTTTGTGCTTTCCAGTGATTTGAAACCCCACCGACTACATTGGAAAATGTTTTTTTTTCTGGGCACTCTTAAAGGGCTTGGTCAGGAATTTAAAGTAATGGATTAAAAATAGCACAGATGGAAAATACATATATTTGTCTGTTGGCTTTCAAATTTGCTTTCAGTTCCTGGAAATCTTTCTTTGTGTTCTGTGGAATTGTCCTTTCATGATTAAACCCAAACAGCTTTTAAAATTCCACTAGCTATTTAATTTTTTTTTTTTAAGCTTTCAGAACATCATTTGTATTAAAAGTCACCATTTCAGGGAAATTGTCCATTTCGTGGGGAAGGAGAAGGGAGAGGAGTGGTGGAACTGACAGTGGGAAACAGACACTGTCTGAGCCAATTTGCTTGCACTGAAATATTTTATTTGTTCACCGCGTAAGGAATGTATGGGTATTCATACACTTCAGGTTTTATACTTAATTTTATCCACTCGATAAAAGAAAGCTGTGAAGAGGGGAATCGGAAACAATCATTTTTTTCCTTTCACCTTCCTCACTCAGTGTGCGAGGTGTCAGCTTTGTTCTGGAAAGGTAAGCTGAAATAGTTCACTTGGAATATACCCGTCCCGCTTTTCAGAATGAGCTGGAGGGAAGGGTGGTGCCAGGCTGGTCCTCTTGTGTTCTGGGGCCAGAGGCTAAGGAGGTGATGTCTGGCGAGTATGGAATTGGGCCTAGAAGCTGAACAGAACATCTGATGTCTCACTGTAAAACTGGATAGAGATACCTGCGCTTAAAATGGCGGTGGGTGAGCTTTAACAAAACCACAGCATTAAGAAGTTAAACCTTAAGCCTCCTGGGCTTAGGAAACTACTATTTCCTTCTAAATATGCAGAATGGGTAATTTCCATTTTTACTCTTTGAGACCTGTTTAAGATATTACTAAAAAGTAAGCATGCCATTTTAGAATTTCTGTGTGCATAAAAGGAAAAATAAAGGTGGCATTTCTAAAGTTTACAATGTGCTGTTCTGTTCCTGGAGACTCGCTAGAACTGGAACCACTTTTGGAGCCTATAGCTTGCATGCTGGATTTATGCTTTAGTTGTAGTTGGTAATTACTGAATTAAGCCTGAGGGTCCTGCTATAGAGAAGTCCTTGAAACGTTACTTTATGGTAAGTAAAAATATAAAAATAATAGGAAACAAGAAAAGAGTGTTTCTCTTCCTCTGAACTCTTGCGTAACAAGTTCAACATGTTGTATGATTGAACCTGAATATGAAAGCACCCTTTCATTGAAGTTTATTAACTGTGTTGTAGTTACCAATGAACTGAAGAGATGTTTTGGGTCCTGAGAAGAAATCTCTTAGTAGCTATTTCAGGAAAGACAGAAAAATGTGGCCAGTGAGATTCTGGCATAGTTTTAACTATAAAAGATGAACATGATGCATCCATGTCTACTTCAGTTAGCATATGTAAGTTTTGATTGTTTCCACGTTAAAACTGCAGTTAATTTCACTGTACTAGAGACACTTTAATTTGCAAATGAAAGCATAATGGAAGCTAAGTATATTTTAAATGGAATAGCACAGGCAACTGCTAATGAGCTAGCGCGCTTTCTGCACTTGCTGTATTAAAACCTAGGTTAGCCTGATAGAGGCTGGAAGACATGACCAGTGATGGACACTTGGTTACCTCAAGCCACATCACACGACCCACCATCACCACACTAATACTCTCTGGTTTGGCATTCTCAGTAGTGAGGTCAAACACTCCGGTTTGTGAGAAATTAATGATCTTTACACCTGCTGTACAAAGGTGGTCTCCAGGTCGTGGTCAACCATGTTATTGCTTATTTAAAGCCACAGATACGCCTGGAATTTTTGAAACCAAACAAAATCAGAAACCTTCTCCCAAAATCTGCTTTGAGCCATGGGGGTTTTCCAGAGGTCTGCATGGATCCAAACACAAGATCAGGGATTCTTGGGTCAGTTAAAGGAGAAAACAGAAAACTCAAAGCAGAAAGAATACTTAATTCTGCTTATTCAAACCAGTTATAATTAACAACAAAACCGTTGATTTTCAACGTCCTTTTTTTTCCTTCAAATGCAATACAGCAATCTGTTGATAGATGTGTTCCAAGACACACACAAGTTAACTATCACAATTTTGGACTGAAATGAAAAGATCTTTATTTTATACTATAGAGTAGGCTTATCTAAATGAACTTCTCTATTTTATAATCCTATAACAAACTCACCCTATTTCTGTCTTGTACAACCAACACCTTTCCCGTGCTTTCATCTAGAACAGCACCTAGTGGAGAGATAATATTGAAAAAGATTGTTAGACAACTACGTTCCATCTTAACAACCATAATTTAACATATTTTGATATAGCATGACAAACCCCTAATGATACTCAGCTTACAGTTACCAAGATTTGTCTGGATGAATTCCAGAAAGTGGTTTGTCGGTGGAAAACTGATACACAATAAAATACGAAAAAAGATTAAGTATCCTGTATAAAAATTCAAAGTTAGCAGTACCAAGATAAATACTTCCCACATTAATTCCCGATTAGACAAGAAATGAAAAGAATAATTTGCTTGTGTTAATATTATCAGAACTAAAGAATGCAAGATCAAGACATCTTCCAAATAATCTAGCAAAGCTGCTTGCTTCAGCAGAGACATGCCTGTAATCTTGCTCAAACAACAGAAATTTTCCCAGTGACTCTGGCTGAGCAGCCACGATGGGCAAGAACCCTTCTCCAGAGAAATTCATGACAAAGCTCCTGCCCGAGTGTTTTCTGGTTAATAATACACAAGGTTTAGTACTCATGGGGTGACTATACTGATAACGTTCAACTAGTTGACTCTAAACTCATACCGTACTACCCAGCTAACAACTCACGATAGGAACTGCACAGTAATCTGAGTCAATTTGTTAACCAAAAAGCATTGCTTCCTAGTGGAAAAGTGATACTTTCACTTGATTCACACATCCTGATTTATTTTTTTTACTGAAAAGTTCAGCTTTTCCTTGTGTCCTCATGCTCAGCCCCTGACTTTCTCCCACAGATTACAAGTTTTCCTACTTTTTAAAACCCAAGTGCTTTCATGTTTAATCATCATGTCACACTCATTGGTCATACTTTCAAAATGTCCTCCCTTTAAAACAGATATTTTTCTCAGATTTTAAAGTGTGCTGTGGTGAGCAGAATGAGCACAGTGGTGCAACTTAGCAGGCTCTTTTCCACATCAGTCATGTATGGGTTTCAAATTAGTAGGTAACGATAAAAAAATGCTTTTTTTCTTTTTACAGCAGGAGGAAGAGTATATGGACAGATCTGTGATGATATACACATTTAAAATGCTATGGGGAAGTATTTCCACAGAAGGGAATTATTAAGGAATGAGTGTCCAGCTCAAAACATTTTCTGTTTTTTTAATAATACATGGCAGACATGTGTAGGAGTATTGAAAAGATTAAATACCAATCTTCCTTCAAGATATGTCAAAGGACGTGCTTTAAGAGGGTAGTCACACATCTGCCTCCCCGTGGCTTGTGACTTCATGATTTCATTCCTCCTGTAAATATTTAGCCATGTCCAGGTTCAAGTACTGTACTGATTAAAAGAGAGAACAAAAGGAAAGCAGGAGAAATGTCAATGCATGCTGTGATTACAGGGATTATTTTCTAGAAAAGACATTCTTCAGCCAAATGGTTTGCCAAGATCAAGGAGGACTGCTGAAGACAGGAAACTGCAACTTGAATCAAACAGAAAGAACGTTTTCTCTCCTCTCTTCCCCAGAAATCGATGCCTGTGAATGTAATTTTTGGCAGTGAAATTCTCTGCGAGATGTCCAGAATCTCTGCTAGACGGTACCTAAATCCAAAGCAAGAAGAAAGGAAAAACACTATTGGGATTTGCTGTCTGGTCTCATTTTCCCAAGAGTAACTCAACAGCCCCGCTGCTGAAGCTCGCTGGGCCACACCTGGTTAGTATCGGTGAGATCAGAGCTTGGCTGCCGGCTCTGAGCTGTGGTTTTAAAAACTCTCCCTCTTGCTACAAATGCGGTACCTGGAGCTTCAAATCATCCAATGCCAGGATGACTTTCTGGAAAGGTTTACACTTATAACCAAAACAAGTAATCGCTATTACAACACTGCTTTGTTTTGAATGTTCTCTTTTGGGAAATAGGTAAGAAAACGATTTAAAAAAAAGAAAAATCCCTTAGACAACTCCAGACAATGAGTAATGGAGGGGAAAAATATTTTCATTCTACCTGTTTTATTTATGACTGATGCAAACATGTATGAAAAGATGTTCAGAGTTGAAAAGCACTTGTCATCCACGTAATGAGCGCACGCATGACTGCTTGCATTGTAAACATCAGCAGACAGGAATAGCTATTACTTTGTAAAACAACCTGGGAACTGCTTTTAAATCACTTTTGATTCCTTGGACCATCATAATCTATCTAACTCCATCTTCCTGTGCAGTCTCATATTTATGAGCTGCTCATTTTACACATTTCCTTAAGTAAAAGGACTGGCCAAGGCTGATGATCATGCATGTGTATGAGTGTGCGGAGACCCTTCTCTCTCTCCAGCTCCAATGGCTTCGTTTCAATAACTAGGTTAAGGTAGGTAGCAATGCAAGAAACAGCTGTATTGTAAGGCTTATGTGAGGGAGAAGAGAACGGCTTTTACTTTTGTTCCTCTCCTCTTACTTTCCTTCCTCAACTTGTCTTCCTGTGCCATTGTTACGTGGCATATTTACAAACACGTCACTTTCTGGATGGCAGACCACTTCCTCCTAGGAGGCGGAGAATTTTGGAAATGCTTTTCAAAAACATCTTAATCATTTCATACACCAGAAGCTTTTCTGTACCTTTACATATTTGGAAAATCCTGCCGCCTACAAACGGATGCAGTAAGTTAGTTGGAAGACGCATCACATATTCCACTATTTCTAAACAATAATGGCCAAGCCCAATGAGTAACGTTCGCTACTCTCTGCTTGGCGACTCTGATCTAGTCTGGCAAAGTATGACCTGACCTTGCTTATTCACACCTTTGTCATCACTTGGCTGGATGATGCTGAGGCACTAGCCCTGGCTGCGCAGCGTTCTCTGTGTGGGAAACTCCAGACAGGACGAAAACCAGCTGCTGGTCTACTTGGCAATGCAGGCTCGCTACCTGTTGTCTGCTCCCTGTGCTGGCCTCCTGCAGGCTAGCAAACCACTCTCAACATCTCTGCTCTTTATTTTCAGGATGCTCAGGGGACTAAGTCCTGTATTTAACTGATTGGCCACAGTTTTGAGATGAAGACTCTCATCAGCAGATTTGCTTCTCTTTACTGCTTCTCTTTCTTTTCTAAAATACATTTTTTTGCGCAGGAAATAAAAATGTCTAGGGTTTGGCACATTACACACAATATAAACACACATATTTAAATAATTTAATATTTCAATAAAATTAATTAAGAATAGAACGAAGCCTTTCCACTACCTAGGCTCTCCCCCTGAAGTAGAAAGATAATGGAATAAACATATTGCAGGTGGTATCCACACTGCTTAGTGTATCCTTGGAATGTGTTCCAGATCCACTGAGAGTGGAACAGAGGAAAAACAAAATACTGCAATCATTATTTCACACACAGAAATCTGTTTGTTTACCTGCATGAATGCTTTAAGTCTTTACCTCTTTTAAAGAAACTCCCAATAACGCATAAAAATGTACAGGTTTGAAAAGTGGTAGCAAAGAATACATACATTATATGTTGTGCAATTTTTAAATCTGTGCAATAAATTATGAAATCCATATACCTGCATTTATGAAACTTTTTCTTTCCTCAAAGTTTTTTCCTGCTTGCAGAGTGCAAAGTTTTTATCTCAAAGTACAACAGCAAATTATGCTTTGAAAGTGCATTTTTCGCATTTTCAAATGTTTATTTGAAAGTTTTTCAACTTACGATTTCTCTTATAGTAAGTCCTTCCTGATAACATCAGGGTCACAACACATCTATTACATGATTTTCTTTTAAACAGCCCTTTCAGCTATGCAAAACCTACTTCAGAAAAATCCCCTTTCACTTAATCATGTTTCCTCAAACATGCAAGTTATAACTGTAAGGAGGAACACGGTGCTTTTGCTAGGAGAATGCATTTTCTTACTCGAGTTTAATGCCACATATTTTAATGGTGAGGTTTTCATACCTCAGGAAAACATGCTCTAACATGTCCATTGAAAAAATCCAAGCCTGTCTTCAGCTTCTGCGCTGCCCTCTGCTGGCTTTGTCACTGGAAACTCACACCGCCGACAGCAGTAGCACTGTGTTCTAACTGAAGGCTTCGTTTTTCCAAAACTCACTTTCACCTGACCTGCTGCTACATAGAATAATCCAGCTGTTATGAGTCCTTCCTAACTAGATTTTTCAAATTGCTATTTATGGGTCTTAACACCATTTGGTGAAGAATTAAAGTCCCTGCAAGCTAAGGACAAACTAGTCAAGCTTGTAAGGGGAGAGATTTGCTGTCTCTCTGCAGTAATTGCCAAGTGTTATATAGCCTTTACCAGTACACGAGGGGTACTGGTACTACTCCAGATTACAGGAGTTACTGAGTGATGGGATAGGTAATTGCATTCTGTGGAAGACTGCTGAGAGAGAGAGGGCAAAACCATTCAAATTTGGTGAAGCTGAGTTCAGGTTGACTCATGATGAGTGCCTTGTACTGCGCCGTATAAAAAAAACGGGACACCATCTTATGGTTCCTTGGGAATTTCGACAGTTTTTAGAGCAAGTCCTTCCAACTGTGGTTGTGGGAGATCTCGATGGGCTGAAGTATGGTGTCCAGATGTTTGTTTGTTTGTAAAATGTATTTGTTTGGGCTGTGGACTTCTAGGCAGAGTTTAGAGGAGCTTTTGGACTGTTGTAGTTTAGGCTAACAGTTGTGCTAGCTCCTGAACAATCCCTGTTGGGTCAAGTTTGCCCCATTTACAGACCTTAACTTGAGCATAGTTTAGGCAGATGCATATATTAAGCATCTACAGTAAGGACAGGGAGCAGAGAAATGATTTTTTTCTAGGAAGTCTATAGTTACTTTTTTACTTTTAAAAAACTGCTCGAACTTTGAAATCCTACCTCTCTTACCTGCAAGGTGAAAGCCAAGATATGTTTCTCAAAATGGTGTTTAAAAACACTATTTGTGAGGTAAATTTTAAAGCCTCAGGACCACGTTTTCTTCTCCCTAAGCTGTTTACAATTTTCTCAAACTGGAATCGTTTTGAGAAATCTCTCTCTCTATTGGCCTGTTTTTACCAACATGCACAGTTGTACAGGCGCATTTACGAATGACACGCTTCACTTTATAAAGTTACGCAAACAGTAAATAGCTGGTTTCCATGCGTTGGTTGTGCACAGGAACAGCCGATTTCCTACTGAACCTGGTCCTAAGGGCTCGTTCAAAAGGCTTTTCGTGGGTCCAACCGCTTTTGTAACTAACCTGCGACTCCCAGCTGGTGGGTGGCATCCCCCGGTAGCCTGCTGGGCCCTTCTCCCAGCCACAGCGTCAAGGTGGACGAGCCCTGCTCGGCGTGGTGGAAAGCAAAGCCTTGCGA